AAATAAAAGAAAAATAGGTCTGTCTTGGAGGGAGTAAAACCAAGTTTCTTCTTGGAGGCTAGAATTTTGAAACTGCTTCTCTCATAGTTTTGGCACGTGGCCAGGAGGAACTAGTTCCTGGAGATGGATATAATGTTTGGAAGAATGGAGAGACAGCATAGGAGAAAAAGACCCCAGATGAGATGGGTCGATACAGTAACTGGGGCAATGAGGGTAGACGTGTTGGAGTCAGTGAGACTAGATCAGAACAGCACAGGCTTCAGAGTTATTGCACATAGGGTTGCTATGAGTTGCAGGCAATAGGACAGCAAATAACAACAACAACATGCCAATCCATCTCATGGAGGGTTTTCCTCTCTTTCACTGAGCATGTCCTTTTCTAAGGACTGATGCCTGCTGATGCCTAAAATATGTGAGAACATGTTTCACCATCCTTGCTTCCAAGGGGTCCACTGGCTGTACTTTTTCCAAGGTAGATTTGTTTGTTCTTTTGGCAGTCCATAGTAGTATATTCAGTATTCTTTGTACCAGACATCAATTCTTTCTGGTCTTCCTTAATCACTGTCCAACTTTCACATGAATATTAAGCAATTGAAAATACCATGCCTTGGATCAGACACAGCTTAGTTTTACTATGCTATTATATTATATTTCTACAATACAGGGATAGAAAAAAATCCTAAAGAGCATTAAAAACAGTAATATAAGATGAAAATAATTAGGAAGTGATGAGCTTGGAGTACTTACTACCATAATTTTTTGTTGTTGCTTTTGTTGTGTGCTGCAGAGTCAGAACTGATTCATGGGTGACCCTCCAGTGGATTTTCAGAGTCAGTTAATCACACAAGAGGAGACTACCCATCTTTCTTCCATGACCTTTATTTTAGTACTGTTTATTTAATTGAATGCTTGTAGGGTGTAATTTTACTAAAGGCTACGCTTAACAACCAGCTCATTAAATTCCTAAAATCTTAGCAATTTGCACTTGCAAGCCAGGACAAGTCAGCTTTAGCACAGTAATAGTTTCAGAGTTTCATGCAGAAAAGAAGGTGAACCACAAAAAACCAACAGAAGAAGCTTTGTTACTGTCATCATTATAATTCCACAGGCCCTGGAGTAAATTAGTTACACTACATTACCAAATAATGTAGGCAGCTGTGGTGGCCAATGGTAAGAAGATGTGTTGCAAATGCAAAGGCAGGCACTTTGAATCCACCAGTTGCTCCATGGGAGAAAGATAAGCAATTTTCTCCTATGTGATTAACTGCCTCTGAAAATCTCCTGAAGGGTGAGCTTGATGCATATAGCAACAGCCAACACCAAGTAATTTAGGCTAAGCAGAAAGAAAACACTAACATCGTTATCTACTGTCCAGATACCAATTTGTCATATTGTGGTCATGAGTGTTGCTTTGATGCTGGAAATGATACCACCAGTGCTTCAAATGCCATATGAGGGTCACTCATAAAGGTCAGATTTTTATAGTTTCTAGTCAGTCTTAACTTTCAACCCATAGAGAAAAGTAGGAAGAAAGACCTGGCTAATATTGGCTAAAATTAGTCAATGAAAACTTTATTATTGATCACAATAAAATATTGTCCAACACAGCACTGGAAGATTGGAAGGCACTACAATAACTGCCAACAATCCTGAAGATGGCACAGGACTCAGTGACATGTTACTTGTGTATACAAGATTGCCATGTGTCATAACAAATTCTGTGGCAACTAACAACAGCAAAGTGTGGTTTGCTTGTTCAAGTCACATGCTTTCTCAACATATATCAGTTCAATTTCTATCTTGCCTAGTGATTTACTTCTGAAAATCAGTCAGGGAAGAAGACCCTTATGGTTCACAATGGTTGGCTCCACATCCAGTTAAAGGGATGGCATGGGTCAGGGCAGTGTTTTCACAGCCCTTCATTACACACGGGCTTATCACAAATTGTTGCTCAAGTCAATGACAGCAAACAACAAGAATATGGAAAAGTTTGACAAATCAAAGCAAATCCTACAAAGATGAAAAATTAGTTGTTCCCAACAGTTCACTTGTCCTCACCTCTCAGCAGCAGCTCTGTGACTATGTTAATTCACAGCTACCCCAACATGACAGACTCAGAACTGGTTCTGGGGTGGGAGGAACCACCAAAAAAAGCCCCAAAAACAAACACAAAAATACAGGCACTTGAGGTTATGCCAAGTTTCCTGATAGAAGGATTTAGTGTCATGTCTCAAAGTCATCCAGATACAAAAGTTAGTATTTTCTTACCAAACAGAACAATATCCATCAACAAAATATTTGGATCACTGTCAAACAAACACTTTGAATTAGATTGTAGTGTTCTTACCAATGTTCATACGTTCAGCTTGTCCATTAATATATTTCACTTTTTCCGTATAAATGTTCTTATAACCATTTATAAATGAGAGATACGATTTTGGGGTCACATGCGCTCTTCGGCGGTATCTGGAAGTTGGACATAAAAACTCTATTAACCCCCTAAAGAAGCCATAACTGCCACCCAGGCAAATATATGCACACCTTTGTTTATTATGGCTTTGTTCACAATAGTAGAGTTGGAAACAATCTAAGTGCCCATCAACAAACGAATGGATAGAGAAGCTGTGGTATATTCACACAATGGAATACTATGCTGCACTAGAAAACAAGGAACTCATACAATATTATTCAAAATGGGTAACCTGGGAGGACATGATGCTGAGTGAAATATCTCAGTCACAAAAGGACAAATATTGAATAGTGCCACTGTTGTAGAATGGAACTGACATCAGGGTTGGGGTAAGACTGAGAAAAATTGGATAAAGTATGTCTACTGCATTGAAACAGATGAAGGAAAGAACAGTTTAATAGCAATATATGATGGGTACTATCATTATTACAAGAGTCCAGAATGAAGGTTGCATAGTGGAATGTACTCAGGGGGAAGGGAGGCATACTATATCAATCAAGGAATTTTTCTTTTACTTTTCAAAGAGAAGAGCAAACTGGGGGGGGGCAGGGAGAAAAATGCAACAATGAATCAGTAGAAATACCAAATCTCTGTAAATATTCATTAAAATTAATAATTTTTTTAAATAAAAACCTCTATTAACCCAAAATGATAAAAATTATCAGTTTTAATGGTCTGAGAAGGACTGGTAGACCCCAAAACTATTTCTTGTAATCATCCTCTAACCTTGGGGAAAACTCTCCCCTCTCCCCCATGTTGGCTCAACTCTTTAGTAAAAAAAAAAAAAATAGGTCTATAAGGTGAACAGTAACACTAGGGAAGTATTAACACCTTAGAATAATCAACCATATGTGATCAAATCAACAGCATCTGCCCAGGCAGAAAGCTTAGAAAGTATTAAAGGGTATGATATGAGGATAAATGGAAAAGAGAATTACAGAGAAGACATGGGAAGAATGTGGTTATATTTGTGAATATTATAATTAATGTTATATATTGAATAGATGTGGTGACAGCGGGAATCTTTGGTCTCTGTTCACAAGGAAAATGCTTTTAGTCTTTCTCTATTGAGAATTATGTTGTCTTTTGGTTTTGCATGTATACTTTTTACTGTTGAGGAAATTCCCTTCTATTCCAATTTTTTTTTAGTGTCTTTATCAGGAAGGGGTGTTGGATTTCATCAAATGCCTTTTCTGAATCAATTGCTAAGATCATACAGTTCTTGTTACTTGTTTTTTTTAATATGGTGAATTACATTGATTGTTTTTCTTATGTTGAGCCATCCTTGCATAGCTGTTATGAGTCCCACTTGGTCATGATGAATTTTTATTTATGTGCTTTTGGATTCTACTGGCTAGGATTATGTTAAAGTTATTTGCATCTATATTCACAAGATATATTGATCTGTAGTTTTCTTTCTTGGTAAGATATTTGTCTGGTTTTGGTATTGGGGTTATGACTAAGAATTTTTAACATTTTTAAAGAAAGTCTTATAGACTTGGGCACTTGTGATTATCATCGTAGAGTTATGTACATATTATAACCAAAATAAATTTCTGTAATTTAAGAGGGCATGAACATTTTCAAAAAGCTACACTTTTTTTCTTCTTAAAAAGATAAATTATTTCAAAAAATAATAATAAAGATGAAGATTTACATAGCTGTATGAAGGTGAAAATTTGTCTCCACAGACAGAAAGAAAATCTACCAAACAGGAAGAATTAATATAACTGACTTATTGAGAGTTGCTAAGAGAGTCTTGAGAATCCTCTAAAGGGGCTGGATTTCAGTGAACAAAAGGGTCTGGGATAGACAAACTTGTAATGTAGGATTCCAACCAAGAAAGTTGGGGAAAGTGATACTCAGATCCTCCATGCAAAAAACCAGACATGACTCTGTGTCCACTGCAAGAAGTCCCTGGGTGAAGCTCATCCATCAGTGTTCAATCTCACACACTATCACACTTTGAGCGGAGAGAAAGAAAATGTATTTTTGAACTGGTAAACATTCATTACCCTTTCTCATAATGAACACCATCTCTGCTTTCAGTGGGTATGCTTTCCAACAGTCAATTAAATTTCGTTTCATAATTATTTGGCATGATAACATGGATAAGACTTTAGCAGTGCAAATACAAAACCCTCAATGTTCCCTTACCATCAGGCAATAAACAAACTTTAAAACAGTGTGCTTCTTTAATCACGATGAATAGGACATTTGAATAAGAGATTCATTCTGAACCATTTATGTAATAAATTAGTTTAGTCATTTTCAAAACAGAATTAAGCAAATGAAATAAAGTGACGCATTAAGCATCTGTTACTTGGCAGTCTGGAAAGGAAAGAGGTATTTAAGTGTGGACACTGGTTAATTTTTAAACCTCATTACTGTATCATCTTTTCATGATGCATAATTAGAAAAATCAAAGCAAGAAACATCTAGGTGTAGCTGGGACTTGGTGTTAGGTCAATATTAAGAAGCTTTTGCTAGGCAATACATTTAAGTGGTCTGCAGAGTGAACTTGGAGGCTCTGTGGCAATGGTGACTATGAAATGGCACTTACCTTTGGAAATACTGTTCACAGTGCTCTGAAACCATGTCATGGAAGAGGCCCATGGTTTCAACAACTTGCCTTTTAATTTCACTAGAACAGACAATATTATAGCCTGAAAGGAAATAGGAGGCTACTGCAACCAGAGCCTCCTTTGGCCAACGACTAAACCAGTCCATTGTGCAACCTGATATCAAACCAGGGAACTTCAAGGATCGAGCTCGGAACTTCTCACCAACCTATTGAAAAGTTAAAAAGGATCAGAAACACTTGGCTAAAGAGCAAGCCTGCTATTTCATTTATGCATTTTGAGGCAACAGCTTGACATTACAATATTTTTTTTGTCTTCTTGGGATGCATTAAGTGTGCAAGTGAAGTAAAAGAATATTTCTACTTTCTTCCTTGCCCTGAGACTACCTCTGCATTATGAGGCTTGATTTTAGAGATTTTTTTTTTAAATCTATAATACTGCAGCCAGAATACTCTGTGGAAGCAAAGATGAGAAAGTTTCATCTCATATACTTTGGACATATTGCCAGGAGAGGCTATTCCTTGGAAAGGAATAACAATGCTTGGAAAGTTGGAGCACCAGTGAAAGAGAGGAAGACCCTCTTGATTGACACAGTGGTTGCAGTAATTGGCTCTAGTATGCCAGAAATGGTTAAGTATGGCATGGGATAGTACAGGGTTCTGTTCTACTGTTCATAGGGTTGCCTTCCACAGTAAGATGACCAGAGACAGTGGAAAACCTGGGCACCATAACAAGTGAGAAGTGGTGAAGAACAGGAGATATCTGATCTAAAGGAAACATGCTAGGGAATCTAGAAATGCTTTCTCAAAATATCTCAAAGCTTCACGTGGGGGAGAGGTGTGATTGATTCAACAGGGAAAATAAAAATTAGAGGAGAAAAGCACAGAGAGGTACAATTCAACTCATTGTAAATAAAAGCATTTTCCTATCATTAACCCATTGTTGTTGATTTCAACCCTATAAGAGAGAGAACTGGCTCTCTGGTTTCCAGGTCTGTAAATGCTATGGGAGCAGCCTGCTACAGCTTTCTCCCAGCTATCACTTAACTTCTGGGCCAACAAGGCTCCTTCTGGCAATGAAAGGATCTAAAATTAGGCAGGCTAGCTTGTGAGTGAGTGAGATCCCTTACAGCAAACAAGTCTAATAGAACTTTCTGTGATGATGGAGATGTTCTACCTCTGTACTTTTCTTTTTTTTTTTTTTACCTCTGTACTTTTCAGTACGTAAGTTACCAGCCCCTTGGGGTTATCAAGCACTTGAAATGAAGTCAGTGTGACTGAAAAGCAGAATTTGTGCTTTCGTTTAATTTTTATTAATGACATTTTAAATGGCAAAACATGACTAATGGCTATGGTATTGGCGATTAAGAAAACAGCAGAATCTATAACAGGGACATTTTAGATGGTGATCGAAATGGGAAGGAAAGTTGGACCAAGATGACATCACCAATTAAAAATACTATATTTCTAGGTATTTCGTTCAGATTGTAATACATGAAGTAATTTCCAATAGTAAGACTTTTACATTATCACATGTTGGTATCAGAGTTTGAATAAGTGGAGATTTAGAAATAAAACTAAACCAAACCACTGACATCAAATAAATTCCAATTCACAGTGAGTCGATAGGACAGAGTGGAACTGCCCTGCGGGGACCCCAAGACTGTAAATTCTTATAGCCTAGAGCATCTTCACACAGGAACTTTGCAGACAGCACAATGCTCTACCTACTGCCCAATCAGAGCTTTTAGGCAGAAACCAGCGGTAGTGAAATAGCAGTTAATTGTAATTCAATATTACAAATGTGAACACCTGAGAAAATTATATTATCAGAGAAAGGAAACTCTCTAAGGTTATGTAAGTTGCCCAAAAGAAAAACAATAAAAGAATTCTCATCCATAGACCTAAATAACTCACTGGAGAGAAGCAGAGAACGACATGCAAGTTCTTCCTTGCTCTTGAAATGAAATACTCATACAGGTTATCAAAGGTAGGAGGGTGGCGAGGCAGCTCCCTTTTCATCACTGGTATCAGATTCTGGGTGATTTCGTCCATCTCATCCCGTGCAAACAAATTGGAGATCTTAGAGGGACAGACAAGAATGAGTGTTACAGTGGAAGAGTTGCTCACAGTCACTTCACTGCCAAAGGATGGTTTCTTTTATATATGCATGTGTGAATGTATGTATGTATGGTTTCTTTTTTAATGTTTTCTTTCTGCATCTCCAGACTTAAGTCTGGAGTTAAAATGCTTTGCCAGAGATTGATTGCCAGGAGTGCAACTTTCTGCTGAACAGCTCGGTCAGGATCAAATTATGCTTCCCTTTGCTTAAAATAGCTACTACCAATAGGCCATCTCTTCCACCACTTCTATTATTTCTTAAATTATCCTCTGTCCTTCTACTCACAATCAATCTCCTTCACTCTGGCTCCAAGAACTAGTCGGTGCACAGTTAAGCATCAATATACACTACCATGCAGAAAAAAGTAAATATTGTGTTCCTGATCTTTAGAATGACATGCAATGCTGGCAGGGCTTGCCACTGGCATCTGGACTGACATCTGGGAACTTGGTTTGGGGGACATTTTTCCCATTCCTAATAGATGAAGTTTTTCCTCTGTGCCTACATAATACTCACAAACAATGTGATGTAATGTGTGTAATGAATGCCTGCTCTCCTTCTGGGAATATAAAATTTTGCTAGCTGTGGCTCGGCAGGGAATGAGGACCATATCAGTCAAAGCCAAACACAGTCAAAGTCATCAAGTGGCTTCTGACTCACAGCAACACTGTAGGTCTGAACAATACTATAGGTAGACCTCACTCACAGAGTTTCCAAGGATTTACATTTTTACAGAAGCAAACTGCCACATCTTGACGTTGCTCATATGCAGGTGGTAGGTTCCAACTACTGGCCTTTTGGTTTGCAGTCAGTGTTTAGCCACTGTATCACTGGGGCTCCTTTAAGTCCAAGATCAGCCCCCAGTAAAACTGTTGGACTCTGAATCGCAAAAAAATTTCTCTGGGCAGACACACAGCACACGTTATTGTGTTTCCACGTAGAGAGAGAATATGGCTCTTTCAGAAAATACAGAAAGCCTACCTGCCCATTGATTCCTTTCAGAATCATTTGATATGTCTTTCCCTTTACTTTTCTATGTCCTGTTTTAATAAATTTAAGACTATATTGTCTTAAAAAATTTAAGTCATGAGTACAATTTTATGTTGACTCTCCTGAGTCCTTCTAATGAAACAAGTGAGTCATGGAAGTGCTGATTCAAGTGATGTCAGAAGTGGTGATACAAATGACACTGACAGCTAATGTAACTCTTTCAACCATTCTATACTTCTCTCTACTCAGATATGTTGTCATTGTTGCTACATGCCATTGAGTTGGTCCTTGATACATGATGACCCTATATACAGAGGACTAAAACAATTCCCATTTTCTGTGTCATCCTCATCATTGGTGATTATTGTTGTTGTTAGGTGTCATCAGGTTGAGCAAGACTCATAGTGACCCCATGAACAAAAGATCTGAACTCTATCCTGTGCCATCCTCACACTTGCTGACACACAAGAGTCCACTGCAACAGTCACCATGTAAATTCACCTGGTTGAGGGTCTTCTCCTTTGCCAACCCTCCACCACTCTTTGCAACATCATGTCCCTCTCCAAGAAATAGCCCCTCCTAGCAATATGTCCAAAGAATATAAGGCAAAGCCTCATCAATCTTGCCTCCAAAGACCATTCTGTTTGCACCTTCTCCAAGACATATTTCCTCATTCTATTGGCCATCCACAGGATGTTTGGTGCTCTTCTCCAACACCACAGCTCAAAGGCATCAATTCTTTTTCTGTTATCCTTATTCATTGTCCAGGTCTTGGATGCACAGCTAATAGTCAGAAAGACTATGACCTGAATCAGATACACCTTAGTCCTCAAACTGACATCACTACTCAATAATTTGGGAAAGTTCCTAACTGCAGATTTTCCCACTGTAATGCATCTCCTTATTTCCTGCTCATACCAAGGGTGTTCATTGTGAATCCAAGCAAGATGAAGCTGTTGGCAGTTTCAATCTCCTCTCCACCCATCACAACACTGCCTTCAGTCCAGTGGTAAGAATCTTTGTTTTCCTGATATTGAGATGCAATCCCTACTGAAAGCTGTATTCCTTGATCTTCTGCAACAAGTGCTTCAAGTCCTCCTCACTTTCACCAAGCAAGGCTGGGTCATCTAGTACTATTGTGACTCATAAGGCTTTTACTGGCTGATTTTTGGAAGTAGATTGCCAGGCCTTTCTTCATAGTCCAAAAGCTTTCTTAGTCTGAAAGCTCACTGAAGCTTGATCAGAGCCACAGCTACATGTCGTCTACCACTTACAGATAGTGGCTACATATGAGGTGCCTTAGCCAGGAACTGAACCCAAGTCTCTCAAGAACTCAAGAGGGTGTGAATTCTATTCCTGAACCACCACAGGTATAGATAAAAATTTTGTTTCTCCTAGGACCAATGAAAACATTGAGGATAAAAATAAGAATTGATATCTGAAATTTACCAAAGCATCCAAAATACTGAGAAGTGGGCAACAATAATGTCATAGAAACTTCAAAACATTTATTAAATATTATATGTATATACTTTCTAAAAGCAAAAGTAAGAGCTATTGGTTTCACTTCTTAAGGGCTGCTGTTTTTTATATTCATATATGAAAAAAATTTTGACAGGCTTAAGTTGGCATTTTCCCCCTCTACTTTTGAGACCTACCTCCCCAGAGGATAGCAAGTTGTTAAGATATTCTAGAAATGCTTCATCTTTTATTTCATTGTCAGTAAAGATGAAGGTGATGCCTTTTCCATCAGCACCAGCAACTTTATATAAAAATTTTAAGTCGTCTGTTAGATTGTTCACATTATAGGACCTAAAAAGTGAAGTGGTAGTAACTTTTAATTAAGAAGGTCAGCATTCATCTCAAAACATAATAACCCATAATAATTATGGCACCATCCATACCTATGTCAATAGACAAGCCAAAGTGTCTGGTAGAAACACAAAGAGCTAACCATTACCTTTCAAACACCTGTTTTATTTAACATAAGAAATGTGAAATAGGGAATTTATCAGAAGAGATCTATGAAAAGTAATTCAGAATAAGGAAACAAGGGAGCTCTGGTGGCCTAGTGGCAAGAAGCTGTGCTGTAATCCTGAAGGCAACATGGTTCAGAGCCACCAGCTGCTCTGTAGAAG